GGATCAGTTGTCTTGCAGACTGTAACTGCTCGTTTTCTGTAGCCACTGTTAGAAACATGCAGCTTATTAACAACATATTACACAGTTTGGTCTTAGCCTGCACTTAAGGCAGATTCCTATTACCTCGCAGTTCTGGTCATAATTGCAACTTCAGCGAGTACCAGGTTTCTTGATCTTTCTCTCATAGTAACATAGTACATAGGGAATGGTCTGAATCCCAGTTATCACTTAGCACAACTTGCACGGCATTTAGAGCATTGTAAATGGAATACAACCATTTAAACCTTTAATATGTACAGTCACATCTAGAGTGGTGGAGACCACTGGGAAAGGATGTGGAGGAGATGGCATTGATAGATTGTTCTGCATTGTTCTAAGAGTGATCTATATGTATTTTTTGTTTGTTCCCCTCCACTCTGTTCTGCAGGTACAGAGCAGCCTGGCAGACCTGGCAGTCATGGATATGTTCGGTCCCCGTCTCCTTCAGTTAGAAGCCAGGAAAACATGCTGCAGCAACGGCCAAGTATTTTTCAAGGAACCAATGGGACAAGTGTAATCACACCTTTGGATCCTGCTGCTCAGCTACGTATCATGTATGTTTCTTAAGTTACTGTTGCAGAAATATCTGTTCTAATATTTGAGTTTATTAAAAGGTGCATTTAGCCTGAAGAAGATACTATAAGATGAGGATATCCACTACCCGATTGCTCTTGAATTTATCAAGATGACCTAATGCATTTTCACCCAGTCCAGTTTGGATAGAGATTAGTGTCACATACGCTTTGCTTTCTTGTACACGTGGTATGGCTCTAGTTCTTTTTTCATATGATGTAATTCAGAATATTCAATGTTTGCCAACAGGCAGCTCACCCCTGGAGCTCCCTCCATTACTCAAGGGTTGCCAGCTTCCCGTTACAATACTGCTGCTGATGCCCTTGCAGCACTAGTAGATGCTGCAGCCTCTGCTCCTCAGATGGAAGTTGCCAAAGCAAAAGAGAACAAGCACGAAGGAACCAGGATAGAAGAGAATATGGGACGCCGGTCAGCTGTGGTTACTGAACAGCAGCAGATGGAACAGAAGACACTGGAGGTAGAAAAGAGGCCTGTCCAGTGCCCCTATACATCTGCAAATTTTTCTGGTGGCAAGTCCCAGGGACAGTCTTCATCAGTAGTCTATTCAGAGGCTGGTAAAGAGAAAGGACCTCCTCCGAAATCCAGGTACGAGGAAGAGCTGAGAACTCGAGGAAAGACCACAATTACTGCTGCTAACTTCATAGATGTGATCATCACTCGACAGATTGCTTCAGACAAGGATGCACGAGATAGGGGCTCTCAAAGTTCAGATTCTTCCAGTAGTTGTACGTATCTTAGTAACTATCTACTACTTTGCTGTCTGTCCTAGCCTTTTAGGGAGATAATAAGCTGTGAAATTATTCTGATATTTAATGATAAAATATTCAGCTCTGCACAGTAGAGACACTTCATAAGCAAATGCAGTTTTTTGCACGTAGTGACTCAAAATTCCTGCAAAATTGGAGTTGTTTTCTTTGTTCACATTCTAGGCTACAATATGAAATGCAGGATAATAAAACTAACGTTATCAGAATTCAGGAAACCTAAAATTACTTTGTTTACATTGGAATACTGCTTTTTGGAAATACTTGTTTCACCATGGTTATCATGGGAAAAAGACAGCGTTTTGACTTTTCATTTTGATGGTGTCATTTTAACAGAAGCACTAGTGTTGCTATGTATAGGCAACAAAAATCTTCTGTGATATTTACACCTTATTCCACAACCTTTGCTTGATATTCAGTATCCTCCCACCGGTATGAAGCTCCTGGAGATGCCATTGAGGTGATTAGCCCTGCAAATTCACCTGTACCTACTCAAGAAAAGCTACAGCCCTATCAACAAGAGACACCTAAACCAAGCCAGGCAGAGAGTAAGTTTATCTGCATATGCCAATATTCTCACAATTATCTTGCTTATATTTACCAGCTCCGTGAACTCAGGAGACTTTAAGTGACTGCTTACCACATTCTTAACTTTTCAGAAACTTCTGTTGGAAGTGTGTTGTTGCAGTGATCTGTGGAAAAACTAGCGCAAATGTATTGGAACTGACACTTGGCATTAAACAGACCTCCTTTACATTACAGTGTAGCTAATTTAATAAGAATTTTATTTTCAATATATTCTTTAAAATTACTGCATATTAGTGTTGATGCCCACAATTTTTTACCTATTAGTAAAGATCAAACTATTACAGTACAGTTTGCAGGTGAGAAATGAGCTGAAATTCACCTGCATTGTGGAATGAAGCTTTATTTATCTATTTTAAATTGTAGAGTCTATATGGGGGAGAAGGTGGTAATCATACAGGATACCTAAAATCTAATGCAGAAACACCTCATCTTTTAAATTTGTGAGCACAGAACTTTGAAACCTTTCAGTAATACCATCTTTCAGTAATACCATCTTACAGACTGACCTTTTCTTCTTTAATCAGATGACCCAAACAGGCAATATGAGGGGCCGATTCACCGCTATAGGACGCAACAGGAACCCCCTTCACCCCAACAACCTCCACCTCCCTCTTCCCAAGCAGAAGGGATGGCACATGTGCCCAGGACCCATCGACTTATCACCCTTGCTGATCACATCTGTGTAGGTTTATTTGCATGCATCTTTTCAGATGTGAAAAGTTATATTTTGATGATTCCAAAACACGCTTTGGAATACAACACCAACTCTGTAATTATCAGTTTTACTTGAGGATATTATACAATAATGTGTCTGAAATAATCATCTTATTTGTTGCAATTGGTGTCATATTCATCTAGTTCATGCATACCTACGCTCTGGCCAATGTCTGACCAAGATCTCTCTTCTATATTTTTGGCCACAATCAGCAAATTATTACACAAGACTTCGCTAGAAACCAAGCAGCTTCTCAGGCCTCTTTGCAGCCTCCCACAACTACATTCCAGAATTCCACCCCTGCTCCAACACCTGTTGCTACCCGAGCAAAGACATCGAATCGCTACAGCCCTGAGTCACAGTCGCAGTCTGTCCACCATCAGCGGCCAGGTGCTAGAGTGTCACCTGAAAATCTGTCTGACAAGTCCAGGGGAAGGTAATGCATGTATTCAGTTTAACTGCAAATTTAATTATTGCCCAAATATGATATTTATAAAAAGTAGCACGGTAATCTTGATGTAGATCAGCATCTTTCAGTCTTTTTTTTTTAGGCAATGTCTGTCTTGCACTGTTTTTCACCGTTGCTTGGCTCCATAACATAGCTTATAACTGTCTTCCCTTCATTTCCAGTCTTTAGAGGGGTGAAGATGTTTAATTACTTAGAACTTATCAGAGTCATTATGGACAATACAAAGTCATCTTTTTGAGATCACCAAGCATACTAAAGCATATAACATATATAACTGAACAGAAGTAGTTATGTAACAACTGGAATGCAATTACATGTGTTAACTACTGCTTTACATGCATTAAGAGTACTTCTCTGTCTCTGAATTATGGATGTAGACCTGGAAAATCTCCAGAGAGGAGTCATGTCTCTTCAGAGCCCTATGAGCCAATCTCGCCACCTCAGGTCCCAGTTGTACATGAGAAACAGGAAAATGTTCTTTTGCTTTCCCAAAGAACTGAGCCTACTGAACAGAGGTATGTGTAAAAGTGAATTTTAAAAACATTATTCTGGATCTGTGCTGTAAACGGTAACTTTATGAAAGAGCAGTTTAAGCAATCTTCCTCGGTACCACGGGCAAGTTGTTAATCACTGTTGATCCTTTTGCACTAGCATTCAAAAATTCCTACTTGAGAGATGCTTTGGGAAGCCTGAGTGAAATGTCATCTGTATGTGTTCTGTCTTTTGAGTTTCTTGGTGCACGCAGTGTGTTCTATGTCATATCTGACAGAAAACATTACAACATAACTCCTTGTGGATGCCAGTTCTATAAAACTGTAGTGGGTTTTGGGGAAGGTCTGTTTTCTACAATTTTTATTAAATAGTTCAGGCTTCTCCTGACTGATCAGCTTCCTGGATACTGTCCTGGTGAAGTGTGAAGGAGCCCAGGCTTCCAACACTCATGATTCTAGAGCAGCTTATCACATGAAGTATTGCTAAGCTAAGGAGCTTAATTTAGGGAAGGTGTGAAGGTGGGATGTCAGGAGGTCCATGCATCGGGCAGCCCTGTTTCCCAGGGCTATTTGTCAGCCTGCCAGATCTGCAACATAAAGGTACATGGGATCCCTGTCAGACTGTGTCAGTGCTGGTGTCTTCAAATGTCTGGCAGACTGACATCAGAAGGCATGCTTCTGTCATTTGCTCTGCTGCCTGCTGAAGAAAGAATAGCACCCAACATGCTCACCATGTACTTATTTAAGGCTCATGCTGGTGAAATTGATTCTTTTTTCTTGTTGGTTTTTTTTTTCCCCCCTCCATTCTGCAGTTACTCGCAGGGTTATTACAGTCCATGATGGATATTAGCTAGATGCAAAGGGATTTTCAGGAACATGGCAGGGAAGACTGTACTCTTTAGAATTTCAAGGATCTTGGCCTTGGAAACCTAGAGTCTTTTGTCTTTCTTACTTTATTTTTATATGATTTTTTAATTTACGTATGGGGTGGGTTTGATGGGGCTTTGGGTTTGGTTTTGGTTTGTTTTTTTTAAATTAAAGCTGATTTGCCAGATTGCTGCTGCTTAAACTCAAGTATTCTAAGCACCACAGTAAACATACAGTTGATGATTTTTATCCACTTTTGAAAACAGTTCAAGTTGTTTATGACCCTAGTATTAGCATAGATTTTTTTCATCTGAATTTCTTCATTCTTTAGGGTGTTTTTTTTCCCTTAAAATTCTGTAATTGGAATACTACTGCTTTTATCTTTATAGACACCCTAAAATTTGCATATTTTTCGGATCAGAAGATGAAATGCACCCCTTGTCAGTTTGACATTTACTTCAGCAATATTTTTTATGCTAATGTGACAGAAATTATGTGCAGAAAGTGTGCCAGCTACTGTGAATGTAAAATTGGTAAGGGGTATGAAATACAGAACATGGATCCCGGTCTGAATTTGTGCTGTAGAGCAAGGATGGCTAACTGGCAGCTCTTGAGCCAGATTGCAGTACAGAAGGTTATTTTACCTGGTTTCTAAGAATGCCTGAACTAGCTTATTTGTTTAGAACATGTGTGACAGGGTGGGTGCGCAGACTTAAGAAGTAGTACATCCTTTTTGGTGGCATACTGGGGACAAGAGTGAGAAGAAAAAGGTTGGAAATGTGTAAATAGGAGGAGCAGCTAGGATAAGTATTTGGGCTTCTAGCTTAAACATTTCATCACCTACCAATTTTCAGTGCAAGCTTCAGCCAGCATGCAGGTTCCAAGGCAGAAGTAGGCACTCCCGAGATCATCTCTGTACCACTCACCAGCACAGACAAGGACACGCTTCTTCTGTGAGCTGTAGAATCTTAAATCCCTGTTACCTGGATAAAGCAGGTGTTCTGGAAAGTCATTATATTTGTCTGGTCACCAAAAAAACAGGCTGAGGGGAAAAAACAGGCTGAGGGAAGGAGTCTTAAAGCTTGTATGAATGTTGGCGGTTTCTGCCTCACTGCTTTTGGAAAGATTTAAATGTATGTCTTGAAAAATGTTCTCTCTCTTTGACATATGTTGCTCTTGGCAGGACTGACTCTCGCTCTCCGGGTAGTATAAGCTACCTGCCTTCATTTTTCACCAAACTTGAGAACACTTCACCGATGGTAAAATCCAAGAAACAGGAGATATTTCGAAAGCTGAACTCATCTGGTGGAGGTGACTCTGACATGGGTATGCAGGACTTGCCTTTTCACTGAATTTTTCCAGCTTAAGCCTGATGTGACTGCCATCCACAGACATCCTAACCTAAATAAGTTTCAAATAACAGTAATTAATATAAATCTATGAATATAAAATCATGTATATAATAATTTATGACCAAAGAACTGGAAGATTGTTAGATTTTTTCCTTTTTTTTTTTTTTTTTTTTTTGATGTATGTAGGACTGTCTCACTTAAGCTTTTTAATGTTTTATTTGAGAGATAGAAATGGTTTCTGAAAACCATGGAAAACCCACATAATTAACGAGAGAGTTGTTAAAACCTGACATTATTCTAGTTAACTTTGTATCTGTAGTTTGCTTTATTTCAACATTAACTATTACACGATTTCCTTTTTGGAAAGGTGTCTTGAAACTGAACGTTTTGTGTTTTCTTGGCCCTTAGGATTTGGGCTGTTAAAAAGACTTATTTTAATATAGTTTCAGTAATGGATATGACATGGTTTAGTATGATACTAGAATTATATTTTTGTTTTTCTCTTAGAAACCTTAACAGCACTTTGTATCAAAATTATCAGTAGTGAGAGTTTAAGCTCTTTGTGAACTCAGCGCCTAGTAGAGAGTATTTATTTCAAAGTGAATGCTCTTGCATTGAGCAACAAATTCATCTCATTCTGAGAAACAAGGCTGTGTCAGTAAGGGTTGCAGTGTTCCTTTTACTGGATCCCCATTGTGTGCACGATAGATTTTGCTCTGCTGAAAACTTCGTGTGCACACTTGGTAAACACACTTTCCATTGCTGCCAATATTTTCATTTATATATTGATTTCAGTGCTGTGGTTGAAAATCTTCATTCTCAAATTGGACATAATATAGGTAATGCTGGGGGGAGGGGGATGTTTAGACATTCAAAGCTTTTGTCATTTTTTTTTTTTAATACATACAAATACTCAGCCTGTAAGGTTTGCTTGTTAAAATATGCATTTAGCAAATCAAATGCAGCTTTGCATTTCAAAGCACATAGATCACGAAACTTCAAAAAGTCAGTCTGCTTCCTGAAGTAACATCTTTAAAAGAAGGCTAGCCATAACCATATACGATACTTTTACCCTGGGATAGATCATTTTCCTGAGGAGACATAGATGCACGCTCAGAAGACTGAGAAAGAAAAAACAGAACATTGCAAATAGTTCAAAGTAGTTATACCTTGTGCATTAGGAATAGTAGTGATCACTTGTAGTGATCATCAGTACTGGAAAATGCAATGAAATGTTGTGCTTTAATTGCAGCAACTGCTCAGCCAGGGACTGAAATATTCAATTTGCCAGCAGTCACTACCTCAGGTAAGATTTTCAGTACAAGAAACCATATGTGTTTCAGAAAAAATAAACTAGTGTAATATCTTCCATTTATGCCTTGGGGAGTCCAGTAAATGAGGAAGATGATGGAAATTTAAAAGGTATTATCCTACAGGAAAATTTGTTTCCTGTAAAGCAAAAATGACCAAAGGAAAAGCAAAATGACAAGAGGAAGTTTCAGAAAATATTTTAAATGGGAACTTAGTCAAGAATGTTTTATTTCTGTGTGCTCTGCAAGTTGTACATGGAGGTAGAAGCCATGAAATTGGTAGCATCTCACTTAAATTTAAATGCAGTGTAGTTCAAGAAAACTTGAGCTTAGGTCATCAAATGTAGTTTACTTTATAAACTGGTGTATTTGAAATACTTATTGATAATTTTCTATGAGACAGGGAAATGAAACATAAACCCATAACTTTACTGTGTTAGAGGCAAGTGAGACAGAGAATTGAACTGAAATGTGAACTGCCAAATCTGAACCTCGAGTTCCAATGAGAACCTTGACTTTACATGATTTTCACCAGTCGCTGCCCCTTCTGGTACAGTGCTTCTGTCTTTTAAACAGAGAAAATACTGATCTCCATTAATTTAGATGGAAGGCAAGCTTTTGGAATAAATATTTGCCATGTATCACACTTCATAAGACAAATTTAGTATGTATCATTAAGAGAAGTATTCTTCTGCTCTCTTCTCTTACAACTGAATAATAGCTGCAGATTTTACTTACTATGCTATCACAATCAGCATGCTCAGGTTCCTTTGCTATTTAAAAAAACAAACAAAAAAAAAAACCCAAAAAAACCAAAGAAAAGTAAAATTTACCTTCTTGCAAACAGTCTGACGTTTAGTGGCACTACTGATGTAGCTCTTCAGTGTTTGCTGGCATTTCTAACTTGTAGCCACTGTGAGCTGCTTTGGAGTATGTAGCTTTGCATTTTAAAAAATCTCATCTTTTTTTGTTTGTTTGTTTGTTTTTAATTTATTTTTTATTTTTTCTCTACCTTTGTGCCTCTCTCTCAAATCTTTTCCCATATCCCTTTGCAATTTCTCTGAGATACCTTTTTTTTTTTTTGCCTCCCCTCCCACCTTTTCCTGTATGTTTTCTTTTATCTCCCAGGTGCAGTCAGTTCTAGGGGTCATTCCTTTGCAGATCCTGCCAGTAATCTGGGTCTGGAAGACATTATTAGGAAAGCATTGATGGGAAACTTTGATGACAAGAGCGAGGAGCATGGAGTTGTAATGTCACAGTCTATTGCGGTAGCACCTGGCAGTTCCAGTGCTGCAGTATCGGCAAGTAATGAGACGCGTAGGGAAGAAGCTAATCCATCACCAAATTCAGGTGAGGTATTGCAGCTCCGAAATATTTCATGGTCTTAAAGAAAAAAATAAATTAAGGATTTGAATAAATTTGGTGTCACTGAAAATTGCTGTCTTTCCTCTGGAAGTCATCGAGATGGTATTCCTAATCCCTCTAGTGGTCCTGGCTTTCAGAATGGTGCTGGTGACTTCAGGAGCATTAGCCAGGATTTCTTGGAGAATGACAACACTGATGAAATGGGGGAGAGATCACAAGGTGTATTAGATACCTGAAACCTCTCAGTGGTTTGATGAAAATGCATGTGTACGTGCATTTGCATCACCTATAAAGAAGACGTGACAGTGGGAATTAGCTTGAACTGAAAACATCTCCCTTCCTTAAAATGGAGATATAACTCTGTTGTGATAAGAATAGGGGGTTTGTAGCAATACTGTGTTAGAAGACAAGCAAACATAGGATAAAGTGCAGTGCAACATTTTTGTAAAATCGGTCCCTTCCGTTTCCAGGAGGGGGAGTTGGCAAGCAGAAGCTAATCGGCAAGTCAAACAGTAGGAAGTCTAAGTCTCCGATTCCTGGGCAGGGATATTTGGGAACCGAAAGACCTTCTTCTGTCTCTTCTGTACATTCAGAAGGGGACTACCACAGACAGACTCCAGTGTGGGCCTGGGAAGATAGGCCTTCATCAACAGGTGAGAAATGGGTTTCTTTCAAACTTTACAAACCAGATTTGGTATTGTAGAAAGGTCAGATGTAAATGATAACACTGGTATATTGGTCAAAAGATTACAACATGTAAGGGTTTTCTGAAAGATTTTCTGCTGTTTGTCACAACCAAAACCAGACTATCTTTTAGATACAGATCTCTTAGAACAGCTCATGGTTTTGACTTGGAGAAAATCTCTTTGATTCAGGCTCAACACAGTTTCCTTACAACCCGTTGACGATGAGGATGCTCAGCAGTACACCGCCAACATCCATTGCGTGTGCCCCACCGTCCATGAGCCAAGCAACCACTCACCAACAGAACAGGATATGGGAGCGAGAGCCTGCACCGCTGCTTTCAGCACAATATGAGACTCTGTCTGACAGTGATGACTGAACTATGCAGATTATTTTTTTTTTTTAATTTGCGGGTCAAAAAAAGAAATCTATTTTTGACTTGTGCCCATAGAGACTTTCCAAGAGAGCAAGGGCCACACAATGAAGAATTAATGGAGAGTCCATTAAATGCCTTCTGCACAGGCCATGTGTTGGAGGACCGTGATCAAGAAGGTTGACTTACTAAAGATAAATATGTAAAGAGTTTTTAAAAATGTGGACTATTCCTGTTCTACATCTATTTGTAAAGAAAACCATAATGTCTTTAAATCATTCTTCTGTAAATAGAGAGTACTTTTTGCAGTGTTTTTTCCCTTGCTATAGTATCTGGTGTACTTATGTTCAAATCATTGCCTAAACTTTGGGGGTCATTTTGTAATTTTTTTTTTTTTTTAAGCATTTTCTCCAGTGTAGAGTACTCTTCATAACCCTAGCCTCCCTACCAGCCTAGCCTAACCATAACCCTAGCCTCCCAACCAGCCTAGCGTCATTGCCCATTTAATGCCGTGCCACTTCTTGCAGGCATTGTGCTTTTATATAATTTTTTCCCTAGACACACTTTCTCGGTGGTGTTCAAGCTCTTGTGAAAATGTTGATTTTTAAGACTGACCCCTTAATGAATTCTGTACATTAACATAGTCCGGTTCGCTGGAATAAGATGATATATTTCTTTGAATTTTAAATTCTGCCACATTGTAAATTTTTGGTGCAGTTGGTTTTATTTAGCAACACTGCAGAAATATTATTGCATGGGTATGTTATGGTTCATTTTTAAAAGGAAAAAAACAAAACAAAAAAAAAAAAGCTTCTGGAGGCATACCTCACTGTTATGCACACTGGGAATTTTAACTGTGCCCCAAAAGCCTATCTTAGTGTTTTCTGTTTCTGCATTGTATGCAGTCAAAACAGGCTACTAAATTTCTCTGTCATATTTAACCACAGCAAATGACTTATCTGAACAGAGGCTCTGGGTGGGTTGAGAAATCCTTTAAGAAGAAAAACTCTACACCCCAAGTTTAAATAAAACAAAATGCTTTTATAGAATAATTGAGCAACACACGAGTCAAGTACTTGGCTTCTGTTACACCCAGTTTGAAATAGGTACTGTGATTTTTACCTTCCTCCAGTCTGATTTTAAAATCCTTATGTAATAATTATTTTTAAGTCTGCATCCCTATCCCAATCCCTAGCCCTGTAAGCAAGCTTTTGGTGGAAGTTCTTACAAATGCTTGGCTTAACTCCTAAAGTGTGCAATACTTGTTAGGGTGACCTTTTTTTTTTTTTTTTTTTTAAATTGTATATGGTACTAGGAGAGTCTCCTTAATCATTCATCTATCAATGCCTGCTATGATATGCTTGTAGCTCATGTATACATACATCTGGTTATTGGTATCATAGGGCGTCCTGACATCCATCTTCAAAAGCATCTTATTTTTTTGCTGCACTGACCTCAGGAAGTAGATTTAAATCTTCTGGGGTAGGAGGACTGATTTACAGATAGCACTGAGTTGGGGGGTGGCATGGTCTGTCAGATTCCAAACTGCTTTTGCATCTCATTGATGAACAGAGCCTTTGCCTTGAAGGTATTTTCCAGTCAAAATATTTTTAATTTAACACTGTATTTGCAATACGTTGTATGGAAGGTATAATGTAGCTGTGTTAACCTTAAGCCATGTAAGCTCTACATCTTACAGCAGGACTGTAATGGTCCAGTTACAAACAGGAAGAAGTACAGAACTATTTATCGATAGCAAATTTGAGTACTTTAGAGGAAAGCCTTTTTGCCCTAAGTGTGGAAAAGAAAAATCCCAAAGGAACTCATTTGGAAACTTGACGCTGCATTGCAAATACAGAATTATTTTGCTACTGTTTTTAAACACTGCATCGGGGTAGATCAGTTGGCAGTCTTAAATCTCCTTGCAGTCTTTCGCTAAGAAAGATTTTTTTCTGACCCTCCCATCTTTTAAGACAGAAGGGTAAAGTAGTGAATTTTTCATCCTGTTTGTAGACCTGTACTCTTATTTTAACTTTTTTGTTCCCACAGCAACATATACTGGACAACAAGTGGATTTGCCCCTTTTTGTAGATTTAAATTTGGAGTGGAGTGTTACGTTCCATTCTAAAACTCAGTTGTTCTCACTTTCTTAGTGTAACAAATACAACGTGAAAGAGGCATGTACAGACAAATGTCTTTGCTAACTGTACAGTAAGTATAGCATGTTCATTGCAAAGCTTCATGTTATTGCTGCTGCAGCAGCAGGATATCCAAAGTAGGATAGTCACTTTCTCCTAAGATACAGCTTGAGTGGCATTTGCACATAAAATGTTGCTGCTTTTTTGTTTGTTATCAGAGTTCTAACTTCTCCAGTGTAAAAAAAACCTCTCCAGAGCCTAAGTTAGGGTTTACCACATTTCCAGTAATCTTCAAGTATGGAATTACATCTGACCTGTTTCAAACAGGAAGGTGTTTGTAAATCATGTTTACAAAGTATAGTTTACTACAACTTTTTAACTGATTTCTGATCAGCGCTTTCACAATGCTTTCATCTTGACATGTTTCGTGATTCTGATATGAAATCATTTAAGACTTGAAAAACCCATGCATCATAAAACTCAACTTTTCTTTTTTTCACACAATGTCTTCAGTAGACAGTGACTTCTGGATTCAGACCAATCAATAAAGGGGATCAGTTCTCCATTTGCTTTTCCTGTGTCTCCCTCTTGTTTTGCAGCATCAAGAGCCTGAGAACAGGCAAAACACTTCCCTCAGGGGGTGCTGCAGGGTTCCTAGTTAACATTGCTGGAGCAGCTAAGGTCTCTGCCACTTAAACAAAAACCAGAACTCTAAAGATTGGCTCTAAGGTGTTAGAGCCTTTCTGATAGTACAAGTGTGCCTGTAACAGCCATATTTTTACTTCCTAGCTTGCTGAGAACAAAGCTTTATACATGACTTGAGTTTTTCCAGCTTCAGTGAACATCTACTCTAGAAAACCTGCATGCCTCCTCTTAGCTCAAAGTTAAGCAGAGTTGAAGCCACTAATGCTACTTTAAGTAAACTAATATACTAAACAGCTGAAGTTCTTACAAATGAGAAGTTAAAATAATGCTTGGTTAGTGACAAAATTACAGTTAGTTCTACTATCCTAGCTAAATATGGACTTAACTTCAGGATTAACTCTCCTTTGTCTTTAACATTAGGGTTCCCTGCAGGACAGAATGGAAGAATTCTGTTGTATAAGCAGGCTGTTCACACTAGATTCACATGAAGGCAGGGACCTTGCACACCCAATGGTATGTACATACTATCTTTTCCAAGAGGAAGCCTCAGCATTCTAGCACTGACCTACCCAAGAAAGGAGGACAGCTTTGGCACTTAGTGTGCTCTTGGCTGGAGTAAGGCAGCCAAGTGTTTTATTTCTGACAGCAGCTCTGCTTGGGTAACACAGTTTCACCCCTCCTCTGAGAGGGCACGTTCTATCTTTGGATGGTAAATGCTTTGAAGAAAAACACTTGATCTTCAGGCAACCTGTTTGAAAAGGACATGGACCTACAGCTCTGTCATAGTATGGTTATAGTCTGGGAAATGCTCTGTTAAAGTTAATATGTACTGAACTGTAGCACTGACACAAATACACTCCCTGACTCAACTGCAAGTATTAACACCAGGCTAGACTTGCACTTTGCTGGCAGACAAGACAAACTTAAATCTCTAGCACAGTAGGTGACTCTAACCATAGACTACACCACAGATTTACATAGTTAAGGTTTCACAACTTTATTTTGGGCTAAGTTGTTAAGCAATAGCAGCCCTTCTTGTTAAGCCGTCCTTAAACTCCTCATTGCTGTTCCCCTGGAGAACTGCACCATACTGGTCCCGGGCTGCTTGTACTGACCAGCCCTTGCTGCCGTCAGCCACCTCACGGTTGGACTCTGTGGCCAAACTCATTTGGAGCCCTTTCTCCTCTTGGCCAGCTCAGCTAGTTCTTCCTCGATATGCTGGGCAGAAGCAACATCTCCCTTCTGTTGTGCCTGCTTGAGAGCTTCTTTGTACACTTGTTTTGCTTGCAGAAAGTCTTCTGTAGCAAGAGGAAAAAGTGGCATGGCCAGCCAACTACATGGCCCGTTCTCAGAGTCCGCTCCTGAAGCTGAGCGCATGCAAAGGACATGCAAAAGGCCACCTGGAACACTTCAAGAACTAGGGAGGTTCAGAAAACATCCAGCACAGGGTGCCAACTAAAAGAGCTAGACAGCAGCAATGATGACATGACAAGGTGCTGCTTCAGCATTAAGATCTCATTGGAACAAGTCTCAAGCATGTCTTCTGTCCTTTTGGAACCAGTTTCTATACATACAGGACAAGGGAAACTAGATTCCCTGGCAACCTTTCAAGTCAGATGCACCAGTACCACATTTATCTTGGACAGGATCCTACAGCAGCTGAATTCAATCTGGGCACAATATAAGTTGCCTACACCAAGTCAGCAGACCTACTGCTTAAATGAAGAATAGCAACACAAAAATAATGCTATAGTTCAATCCTCCAGTACAGGTATCTGTAGCCAGCACTAGCACAGTGACATAGGCCAGACATTTACTTACTTACCTTTGTGCATCAGAATTGCTGCCAGGTTGTTCAGCACCATGTGCTCCTCAGGGTGTTGAGTCTCCTTTGCTAGCTCAGCTGCCCTCTTCACGTAGGAATATGCCTCATCATAGTGCCCCTGAGCATCCAATACAGTTGCTAAGTCATTCATCAGGACCACAGTCTGCACCAGGACAGAAAAGGAAGCCTCAGAGCAAGACTTGTGTAGAAGTCTGGGGCAACCAGAGCATCACATTCATACCCGTTGCACTAGTAAAAGTAATATTTCCCAGAGAAGCTTTCAATAAGAAAGTATCTTATATTTCTGTATCAGCATGCTACATGCTCATTCTTCCTGGCAGGAAACAGAAGCTAATTTAGTGCTGCATACATTTGATGCCAGCAAAGCTGCTTTTAAAGGCAGCCTCGTTCCCTAGGCAATTAGCCTTTCTTTGCTTAGTAGTCCAACTACTATTGTACACGTCACCTGTGGATGAGTCTCTCCCTGAACATCATTTGATATCTGCAGAGCCTTCTCATACATTTTTTGGGCTACTGGGAGCTGGTTAATATTTAGGAGATAGCGAGCATAGGAGTCTAGGCTCATCCCAAGCAAGAGACGGGTGTTGGCCTTTTCTTCAGCTGCAAATAGAGAGGAGCGGAAGTAATCACTTCTAGAAGATAAAGTATGAGTCTCCATCCTACAAGAGCAGGAAACTCATACCATGTGAAGACAATGGACTGACATGCAGATGGTGCTTAGGCAATATGGAAAGCAACATCAAGGACAGGGAAATGGAGAAACGCCTTGTGACAGACAAGGCAGTCCCACCTGGTAAGACATCCTCAGGCAAGTCCTTTTGCTTGGCAATCTTCTCTTCTAAGGTCAGGATGCAGAACTCATAGCCAGCCAGGGCTAATTTGTGCCTGCAAAGTACAGCAATTCAGCAAAGCAAGGCTCCTTCCACCCCTGAAGGGACAGATGTGAACACCTTCAATCTCTCATTCTAGAGAGCCTGTAAGACACCTTTTCCCCTTCACCAGAACCTTCTTGCCCTCAGTGCTTGATTATGGCCTGCACCCTTCTCTTGACCCACGGGCAAAGGGGTCCAAGAGGTGGAGAGGGCCCCCTCTCCCCCCACACAAGGCCAGCTCAGGCAATCCATGCTGATGCTCCACTGAAAAATGAAGCTACAAGCTACCAGCCACCAACTGCTTCAAAAGCCTTCTCTCCTGCAAGGCACGGATTTAAGAGCCACATCCTCTATGGCTACTTCTGCCCTAAGCTGGGCAGGTCATAACAGCAATGACTGTGCTGCATGACAGTGAGGAGGCAAATATCATGCCTGTGGAAACTTTTATGTTGATGGTATCTTGTCACACCAAAGCTTCCTCAGGTACTCTACACTTAAAGAGCCCCTGCTGGGCCGCCACTGCCACTGTGAAGCTGAGATGAAAGCAAAAGATGCTTTTAGGAGGAAACTCACTGTTTCTGAGCAGCATAGATACTGGCCAGCTTGAGGGACATCTCAAGAACTGCATTGTCATCCTGCCAGGAAGACACACAACACAACTGTTACTATTCTCCCATCTCCCCAGTAGAAACATTACTTTGACAGAGAACAAGTTTAAACCTTGAAAATGCCCATCCTGTTGTCTCCAGAGCTGCCATCCCCTTAAAGCACTTTCTTGAGAAGCTGGCAAGCTCATAGCTACTATTGCAAATTTCCAGTAGGAGGTATTACAGCACAAGAAATAGACCAAAGAATTGTTAATACTTCCAGCTGAAAGCCTTTATCAGAAGAACATACCTCCTTTGCATCCCCTGCAAGCAAATAGCTCATACTTGCTTTGTAGAGCTTTTCTGCCTGAAATGAGAATTTTGAAGACAATACTGAGGAACGATGGCAGTTAAAACAAAAGATCCCTACCCTTTACAGAGGCAGACTACTGGGAGAAACCTGTCCCTCAATTTGTGGCATTTGCGTTGTATGTCAAGACGAGTCAGAGCCCAATGGTACAGCCAACTAGGCGGGCCTTTTCAGTTTCTACTTTAGGACTCCTGCACCAGCCACGATTTTACCACATCAGTGTGCCTTCAGGACTTTCCCTGATTCTCCTTGGGACAGCTATCTAAATGCTTGACTGTGGCATTTGACAGCAAGAAGTATTCCCTCCCTTGCACACCACGTTGGAGCTCAAAATTTAACTGTGAAGCATTTTTCTTAGCAGCACATGCTCCACAGGACTGCAAGCCCCAAGGCAAATGCTTTCGACGTTACGATCTCCACCTCTCAACTCTCAGTACGCAGCCTGCCTCATCTTCAGGATCCTGGACATGCCAAGACCTTGCACAAGATGTCAGCCTCTTAAACATCAGAGCGGGGTGGAGGGGGGGACAACCAGTTACTCACATTGTCCAGCTGTCCCCGCATGAAGGCCACATTTGCCATCTGGAAGAGACAGAAAGCTCTGAAGCTCCCCAAAGCTGCGGGGACCAGCCTCAGCACAGCTGCTTGTCCTTCTA